TATATTCTTTGCAGCCAAAGATGGAGAAGCTCTATACAGTCAGCAAAAACAAGACCAGGAGCTGACTGTGGCTCAGATCATGAACTCCTTATTGCCAAATTCAGACTTAAACTGAAGAAGGTAGGGAAAACCACTAGACCATTCAGGTATGATCTAAATCAAATCCCTGTGACTATACAGTGGAAGTGAGAAATAGATTTAAGGGACTAGATCTGATAGCCTGATGAACTATGGACGGAGGTTTGTGACATTGTACAGGAGACAGGAATCAAGACCATCCTCATGGAAAAGAAATGCAAAAAGGCAAAATGGTTGTCTGAAGAGACCTTACAAATAGCCACACTGTTTAGCACACTTTAAACACCAAGTTTTACCAGATGTGTAATGTAGACTGAACGTTTCTGAACATTTCAAATACGTACCTTGTCATCACCTACTACCTCCTGCTTATTCTCTCTCCAACCCTCACCAATTGGCAGCTAATGTAGCCTTGCCTTCCTCATGTAGTCTTTAGACCTCAGATAGGTGTGTTCTCTCGTTTATTTTCTTACTGACTTCTGCAAGGTTTTTTATTTTTTCATTTTATATCTGCTTTTCCAAAGCTATTCTCTTTTTTTTTTTTAGAGGTTTTTTGGTAACCCCTTATTGAGATATTATTCACATACCATACAATTCACCCATATTAAATGTATAATTCAGTAGTTTTTAATATGTTCACAGAGTAGTATAACCATCACCACAGTCAATTGTAAGCATTTTCATTATCCCAGAAGGAAATATGACACCATTTAGCTATTTCCCCACAAGCTCTCTGCTTCTCCCGAGCTTACTTTCTGTCTCATCAATTCTCATGTTAAATATGAACATTTCATATAAATGAAATCATACACTATGTGGCCATTTGTGACTGACTTCTTAACATTTTTAAGGTTCATCCATGTGGTAGCGTACATCAGTACTGCATCCTTTTAAATGGTTGAATACTATTCCTTTCTGTTTATGTTTTATTTATCCATTCATTAGTTGATGGGCATTTGGGTTGTTTTCATTTTTTGTGCATTACAGTTAATGCTGCTGTAAACAATTGCGTACAAGTGTTTGTGTTGCTCTGTTTTTCATTTGGCCTGAGTGTGTATCTGGGAGTGGAATTGCTGGCTCAGTGGGAACTCTGTGTTTAACTTTCTAAGAAACTGCCAGACTGTTTCCAATCTCCTTGGTTTTTTTTTTTTTTTTTTTGCACATAGCCCTTTTCATTCATCTATTTATGAGGTATGTTTGTTTCTCCCTTGGCTGTTGTCTTCTGTTCTTTGGACCTCCCAGGCTTTCCCCATCATGTCCTGCTTTGGGGAATATACTACATCATGCAGTAGCAATGATTCTCTCTCTTTTCCTTCTCTCCTTCCATCTTTGTTTTTCTCCCTTTCTTCTGCCCAGTACATCTTCATACTTTCTCTCAACTCTCCTGAGCCACGGACAACTTAACCACTAGTTTTCTATGATCATATCTATAAAAGGGAGATCTGTTTGGTGAATTATATTTATTAATTTGTTTTACTGCCCAACTTATTTCTTATTATGATATAAGAAAATATCTCTCATTTGTGAAACAGAAAAGTGCCTTAATCTTGTCTAATGAACATAAAAGCAGCCAGAGGTCAAAGGAAAGTCAGTTTTATACATTATTGTAAGTTAATTTCAATTATAAAATTTGATTTATTAAATTTTGGGGAAAATTACCACAGTTCACCACACAGGCCAAATCATTGTAGATATTTTAATCCATTCTCTTCCACATTTGTAGTCACATCCTGTAGGTAGGCTGTTGTATCCACTTATTTTATATCATTTTTTTCATAGAATTACTCTAATAATAATATAGGATAGATTTAGTAACCATCTTTTTGATACCCACTAAGTAACAAATGTCCTGTTACTGGTTTAGCCATCATCCTGTGCTATGGTACTTGGCTTCTAGTGTTTATATTAAAATAAGTAACGCTGCATTTGGGTTTTTAAAAATGAAAGTTTGTAGATTATTTCCTTGGTTTAGATTTCTTAAAGGGGTAAAGATATGACAGGTTTGAATTTTGATATGCATTGCTGAATCTTAGAAAGCTCTGCTTTTTGAAATAGGAGATGTGAAAATAAAACTGGGTTATTGTTTACCAGATTCCAAGAAAATGCCTTGGAGTGCAGTTAAATCTCCCCAAACATTTTGATACACCTAAACGGTTTTTAAAATGGCATTTTAGTTAGCTGTAAATCATTACAAAGTGAGTAAGAAGGACCTAATGAAGTTGCTGTATAGTAAAAATATACTTGTTAAAAACAAAGAAATGGACAGTCCTGCTCTATACACTGTGGGCCCTCTGTGTGTATGGAGGGGGAGGCTGGACTGAGGGGGTTGAAGAATCACCTTCATATGCCACATGTCAAGAGCAGTGACAAAATGGTGTGTATCCAGCCAAGTGATACAGAGGAACAGGGTAAGAAAGAGGAACGTGATCACTAACCATTAGATAGGAGGGTCAGACCATGGACCACAGCAATAGGACGGTGTTTCAAATAAGTGGTTTGAAATAGAACTTGAAAGAATTTTCTAAGAGACCTGTTGAGAAATGATTGCCTTGTGATGGTGCATTCCTTGACACTGGACACATGCGAAGAGAACTTGAATCTCTGTTAAAGATTTTGTAATGAGATTCTGTAATGTTGTCTGTTATTCATTCATTGCCCCATTCAGTTATTAATGGGACACTACAATGTGCCAGGCATTGGAAATACAATGGAGAACAGTCAGGCAAAGAATCTACCATGATATGTTTACATTCTGCCTGGGGAGGGAGAGAAAATAATCTCAGGTTGTGATCACGAGGAAAGAACGGTATGAAACAAGGTGAAATAGAGGATAATAATCGGGGATTCCTTTGTAGGCTTGTCCAGAGCCTGGCCTTGCTTCTACTCTTCAGATTCCATATGTGACTACCTGCCATTGGTTCTCAGAAACTTCTCAATTTAAAATTGGACTCTTTACCTCCTTACCTAAAACCTGCTTTTCAACTCATGATCTCCAGCTAACTCTTACACTGGAGTTATACTCCAACACAACTCTTATACTGATAAGTAAGTGGTTCATAAATTTTGGTATCATCTCTGACATGTCCTGCTTTCTCCCTCACTATGCACCAAGTTTCCTAAATACCTCTATGTCTCTTTATTGCCATTATCACCATCTTAGTCCAATACCACGGTTGATTGCAGTTAGCAAAATGGGGGCTGTGGTTGGTAGGGTCAGTCTGCCTGAATTGGAACCTGACTGTCACTTACAACCTGTGTGAACTTGAGCAAGTCACTTGTTTCTACATTTGTAAAATGAGAAAAATAATAATTCGTATTTTATAGAATAGCTGTGGGTTAAATTGAGTCAATACTTGCAAAGGGCCTTAAAATAGTGCCTGACCCTTAGAAAACGATTTAGAAATGTCAACTAATATTGTATTTCTCATGCAGAAACTGAAATGATCTTTATATTTTCAAATATACCTTGCTGAAAACTCTTCAGCTGATTACCATAAAGACCAATTCCATAAAGTACTCTCAAGCCCCTTCATAATCTGACCCCTGCCTACTTCACCTCCCCCTTTTATTTCATCTGGTCCTATAACCATATGTGGTATGCCTACATGTCAGAGGAAGATAATCTTCATACTTCCACATAAAGACATTATAAGGATCAAGTTAATGCATATAAAATGCATTATTTTTATTAAGTGCTTAATAAGTACCAGGTGTAAAAATAACATTAATTCCTGTTGTTCTTTACATGTCAGCTGTATAAGAATTCTTTCAGAATATCAGAGGCATGATAATATATTTTCCTCAGGTGTTTGAAATTTGCTGAAAGCTCCATTTCACCTTCTAACTAGTTTGTCCTTGTCATGTTTTAATCTGGCTCCATTCTCATAGAAATGTTGCAGCATTTATTTAGTTATTGTCATCTACTATACTAAACACTGTATTATTTAAATTGTCCTTTTCTCCTATAATGAAAATGTACATGTTGGTTCTTTAACCTTGAATACAGTCAGCTCATGGGTAGTAAAGTTACACATTATGAGTTCGTATGAAAGTTGTCTATAAGCTGGACCAAACCATCCTCTTGTTACTTCATGTCCTGCAGCTGGGGGGAAATCTGGGCCAGGAGATAACATAGATAATGGTAGAATTTTCCATCACAGGACAACTGCAAGTGCTAAAATTAACACGTATTTAACAACAGCAGCATATTGAGGGCCTGCTGAGTAGA